CCCACTCTTTGTGACTGGCATCTGAAATGAGGGCTGTCTTTGGGACTGAGCCCTTAACCTGCCCCACCTGATGCTATCTCGAGGTAGACAGTGTCAGAATTGAGTTAAACGGTGGGATACCCAGCTCCTGTCACAGAATATCGCTTAGTGTGGAGAAACCTCACACACAACTGGTGGCCGGAAGTGTCAGAAGTCAAGAGAATGTGGGGGTGGTGAGGGTGTAAAGGAGAAACGCAGGAGGAGACACGGAAAATTTTCCAACATGGCGCCCACTTGGCTCTAACATCTCTCCAGCTCTTGGCAGGAATCAGGGAGTTGTTTTACCACCAACCCAAATCCAAGTAACATTGTTCTTAATCTTTGTTCCTACAGCAACTAAGTGAGAGGAATTATGAGGAAGCCACATGGTTTATGATGATCCCAACTTACCAGGAGAAAACTGAGTCTCAGAGACATTTGGTCACTTGTTCAAGGACTCAGGTCACCATTTCTCTCCCATCTCCAACTTAACATTCAGTGAAGAAGATCACACCGATAGAGGGACCGTCTGCCATATAACTAGGAGATATCTACGGGTGGGGAGAGGAGAAGAGGAGGCATAGAAGGTGGGAGAAAGAATGAGTCATGGAGGAGAGTAAGACTTGTTGGTTTAGGGGTTGCATTTCAGAAGTTACGTGAGGAAAGAAATTGGTTCAAAAAATGAAGAACTTTCTAGTGCCGAGGCAGCAAGGGGCTATGTCAGAACACAGCAAGAGGGCTACCTCCTCCGTTGGTCCTTTTATTTGCTTAAGATGCAGTCTTTCCTCCTTGGTGTTGGCTTTTCCCTGATAGGTAGGGATTCTGGACTACCTGTTCATGTTTGAGGGCAGAATTCTCTTACACGCTGAAATTCCCGTGTGTCTTCAGACAGCTGGGAGAGGGGACTTCGTGTCCTAAATGGCCTCCTCCCCGTCCAATCACTGCAAGCCTTGAGCTTTGGGATGGTGCTGGCCTTGGAAGGCAGGGGCCACAGGGGGAGCTGAACCAGATGAAGAGATTGAATGTGAATCCAGATTAAGTCCGGGAAGAAATGTTTGCACGTGTTATTGGGATGTGATTTACTTTTTGGGCCGACAGCAGGTATCCTCAACCCTCATGCTGAGCTTAGGGCTTGGCCACTGGAGGTGCAGCCCCTGCTACTTAGGTTAGAGACCCATCAGGCCACAGAGGGTGTTTGTTACAAAGGCAGATCTCCTGGTGTGATCTTTCACTTGTGGGCTGATTCTTCTGCTAGAAATCCATGGGCTACATTTTGCCAAACACCGACCTGGTGTGTCCCAGGGAAATACGGGGAAGGGGATAGGTAGGGGATGCTCTCAGCCAAGTATATGGGGTGACCCAGGAGGCACTGGAGCTCCTTTCCCATCAGACATTCCTGAGAAGGAAGGAGGTCAGCATGGAGTTCCAGTGGCATGAGATCATGGATGCTCAGACTTTCAGGGTCGCAGAGACACAGGCTCTTATTCATAATGGAATAAGGAATCTTGAAAGAATAGAATGCAGGGGCACCTGGCTGGCTCTATTGGGAGAGGAAGGGACTCTTGATCTCAGGGTCGTGAGTTTGAGCCCCATGCTGGTCGTGGAGTCTACTTTAAAAAAATAGAATAATAAAAAAATGATAGAATGCATTTGGAGTAGAGCTTAGCCATTAAGAATAAGTCCTATTTGGAGTTTGACTTTGCTTCATTAGCTGAATAACCGACATGGACTTACTTCATCTCTCTGAGCTTCTTTCCTCATTTGGGAGATGGGCATAGCAGGAAGTGTAATATAATGCTATCCAGCACTGTTGTGACATACAAATGAATCAGAGTCTTTAAAGGACATGGTATTGAGTTTGGCACAGGGTAAGGACTCCAGATGCTCCATTATCATTAGCAAGGTCATAGGATCTTAGAACCAAAAGTCATCATAGAGAATATCGAGTGAGTCCGTTGGCCATATAAGTGACTCCCAGGGGAGAGGGATCAATAAAAGAAGACTCCCTTGGTTCAGTCTCTCCTCTCAACCTAGCCTCCTACTGGAGTGCTCCCCAGTCCAAGGAAGGGGCACTGTGGCCATCAAGCAAATTTGGAGGGCCAGCTCCTAAAGATTGTTCGAACCTGAGAACGTCATCTTCCTTTGTTTCCTGACTCCCCCCTTTGTAGAGCTCACATGCCAGCTGTCTCTGGGCCCAGCCGGCTCAGCTGGGGGAGAAGGGGGCTGTGTCCTCCCTCCCCCTGCTCTGGTGTTTAATCAAAATAGTATTCAAAATATGATTCTGGGAGATTATATTGGGAGATTTGCAGGAGGCTGTCAGTGGGGGCAGAGATGGTGGGAACAGATTGCCACGGGGGTCCAAGGCTGGGATAATCGCAGGCTCAGACGCACCTTTCTCAGGCCTTCCCCCTTATTCCTGGAGCTCGCCACCAGTGCAGGACCAGACCCCACACTAGGATGGAGCAAAGGCTTCTGCCTGTATCTTGCAGCTGGGGAAACTGAGAGGGGAAGGGGCGTGTCCACGGCCACAGCAAAAGAGACCTGGCACTGAGATGCTCAAGCTCTCTTCTGGGATTCCAGCCACTCTTCCTGCCTTTTCTATACCCACTGTCTGCAGCCCAGCTCTAGGTCTGGATCCTGGGACAACCCTGGGCTGCAGGCTCCTGCTCCAGGTTGGGAGAGGTGGGGAGCAGTTAGGCCTCATAGACAGGGGCCAGGGAGACAACTTCTTGAGGTCCTGGGTGGGGAGGCAGGCAGATCCAAGTGGGCCTCCTTTCCTAGGACTCACTAAAAGTGACTCACTAAAAGGATGGACCACTGGAGGCAGAGTGTAGGTCAGAGCTCTCTTCTCCCCCAGGATCAGCCACAGGACCTGGGGCTTAGGTGCAGCTCTGCTCTCTGGCCTTCAGGGTCCCTCCCTCTCCAGGTGCTGACTCAGTGTGGTGCTGAGTTCCTTTCCCTTCCACAAAATGGCTAGCTGGAGCCCTACTCCCAGCCAGAGGCCCTCTGAAGGCGCTTCTGCTGTCTGGGCAGCCTCTGGAGGGGTCTACCTGGCCCCCCAGGAGGGGGCGGGGTCGAGAGCGCCTTGAAAGAAACCTCCAGCTAAGGCTCTTTATTACAAACGTTAATCCCACAAAGCCGACTGGAAATAATGTTTATCTTTTCGCAGTTTAATTTCCCGGACCCTAAGCCTCGGGTCAGTGAGGGCGACTGGAGGTCCCCGGAGAGCTGGGGGGGCGGGGCAGGAGCAGCTGTTGCCCAGAAGCAAAGCAGAAAGCAGGGAAGGGATCACCCAGGGGAAGAGAGGGAAAGGAACATGAACCAGAAAGTGGCATTGGGCCCTGAGTGGAGAGCTGGGGTCCCTCTCTATCAAGGATCCCGTGTGACCCTGAGCCAGTCGCCTGCCCTTCTGTTTGGCCTCAGTTTGCTCATGTGAGGAAGAGGTTTGTATTTTGTAATTCGTGATTTCTAAAGCTCCTTCTGACCCCCGTCATTCCATTAAAAAACAAAACAAAACAACAAAACAGCGTGGGGCTGGGAGGTGGTCCACCGCCTGTTCCCTGCTGTTCTTCCAATCATTCCTTCTCCGCAGTCTCCAAGGAGGTCTACAGTCTCCCCTGAGGAGGTGAGCACTCGGCCCTTCCTGCCCCAGACATCAGTGCCAGGCCCTGGTTGGGAAGGCGTCACCCGGCCTGGGCGCAGCACCCTCAGGATCCGGTCGGTGGGCGCACACCCCGGCTGTCCTTCCCCTGCCTTCCCAAGCCCGCACCAGCTCCCCGCAGCTCCCCTCTAGAGCCCCATCCCGGGTCCACTTCCCTCTCTCCCCATGAGCAGCGGCCAGGTCCCTCGCTGACTCAAGCCGAGGTGACCAGGCCAAGGGCTGGAGCTTGCGCGGGGCGCGGACAGCTTCCCAACCCTCCTCCCCCAGCCCGGCTCCAGACGCCCTTGCCGCGGAGCACTGAGTCCCCTTCCCAGCCCGTCCCCTCCCATTGGTTGGCCTGTACCGGAAGTGATTGCTGGCACTTGAGTAAATGGAAAGAATGGCCCCTCTTGCCGCCGAGGGACCCAGCAAGCTGTTGCTCTTTGCCATTTTGTCTCACGGGAGAAACTCGGGGATCCCAGCTGGGTGCCAAGGGGCGACTAGGATTATGCTCATCGCCCCTCCTCCCAATAAACTAAAACCCAACTAGGGGCTCGGGAACAAATACATCTTCCAAATATCCCGACTGCTCCCCACCTCCGACCTCCCCACCGCCCCCCCACCCCCCAACGCACACTAAGCCTCCGGCCATCACACCGCTTGGCTAGTTAGGTACCGGGCAACTTCAGGTGGGCGGCGCCTTAGGCGCCCGTGGCCTTGGCCGTAACCTCGCCAGTTCCTCTCCCTGCCGAGAAAGGGACCGAGGTTTTGCAGCTCTTGCCACCCCATCCCCGGAATCCCTGGCCGCATTCCATCCTCCCCTCCACCCCGGCCTCTCCCAGCGCCCCTGGCACAGACTCGCCATACGGGTGGGGTTTGGTTTGATTATTTTTGAGGACACAAGGAATGGGGAGGAGGAGAAGACGCGGGTGGTCCTTAGGGGGCCAGGTCAGCGTTGAAGTTACACAGTGAAAGGGGGCGGGGTGGGGGTGAGCGGGAGAAGCTGCTTCAGACCCTGTATCAGGAGGAGGGAGGGAGACTTGGTATACGGAGTGAGTGCACAGGGCACACTCGCTCAGCCTTCCCTTGGCACTTCCCAGGTACCCCACCGCCACCTCCTCCAGAGGGTCTGACTCCAAGCGCCTCCGCCTGCCTCTCCCAGCTCTGCGTGCAGGAAGAGCCGGTAGAAGGGTTTCTGTGTGTTTTGTCTGTCTCTTAGGCGAAGTGAGAGACACCCCCCCCCCCCAGTCCCTGGCCAGGTCTCCCAGCTTCTGAGCAGGAAGGTGAGTTCGAAAAAGTAGGGCTTCTTTCCAAGATTCCTCCGCAAATCGCAGCCCTTGCGCTAACCTGCTGAGAGAGGAAAGGTTGATTAAAACCCGCAGGGCCGCTTGGTGGCGATTTCCAGGAAATCGGAGGTCGGCTGGTGTCTGGTCCGAAGGGAATCCAAGGTCTAGAGGCAATTTGCTTGCCGGAAGGAACTTTTGGACCCCGTTCTGTGTAAATTCAAATAGCCGCGCAACCCAATTTTCTCAGCCAGTAGCTAATCCAGCCCACATTTCAGAAATCCAGAAGGTAATCCTGAGAGAAATGACTACGAAGAGCAGAATCTGACAGTAATTGCTGGAGGCTGCCTGATGCTTGGGGAATGTCCCATTGTGGGGTGCAATTCTCTTCCACCAGGCAGAGCCAAGGGCAAGAGACCACTGACTGGCAGTCACTGCCCCCCCCCCGTTGGGGGGGAGCTCTGGGGGACAAGTGCTCTCTGGGGACAGCACCAAGCCTGGGCTACCCTCACCAGGAGTTTTGTGCCCACCCCACCCCCACCCCGGGAGGGGGCTGCCTGCCGGACTTAACCATTGGCCTTAAGCCAACTCCATGTATCTGGCTCCTCCCCCCCAGACTTCTTGGAAAGTCCTGGTTCCTGCCCCGCCCTAGCAAAACTCTTGGTACTAGCAAGGCTGGGGTCAGCTGCCTCCTCCAAGGGGCAGGCAGGGGACAAGGATGTCAGAGTCAAAAGGTCATGATGGTGCCCATCGGGAGCCCAGGTCAGAGAACTAGGTTGCCCATCTTTTCCATGACTTTCTAAGTGATCCTAGGTAAGTTACCTTCTCATCCTGAGCTTCTTACTATTACTTGGGTTTAAAAGGAGAGGGGACCGGTACTTTTATTTCTAAGCTCTAGTTTCGAAGAGTGCTGCGGACAGTCCTGCTCTGGATCTGAACAGGGACATGCCCGAGGGGCAGAGAGGCCATGTGCCAGCTGGGCGGCACGGTGGGCAGTTGTCTTTGGAACAGACACACCCATCGCCGTTGGGGACCCAACTACCTTCTGCTCCAGACGGGTACTGGCAGTGCACTGCAGGCTCCCTCCGCCGCGGGCACGGCGCACAGTTCATTGGCATCCCCTGCACGGCAAAGGGGCGGGTTCCAAAGGCTTTGGCTACACAGGAAGTCTCTTCGCACCCGGAGTTTCTGGAGACCGCGGCGCATCGGCCGCCTGCGCCTGCAGGCTGTCCCGGAATCACGCGGCACTCGGGACTTCGCGGCCTGGGAGGGTTTGGAGTTGCGCCTTCCACCGCGCCAGCGGCCGCAGTGTGCGCCAGAGACCAGATGCGCGGTTTCTCGCTGCAGGGGTAGTGCATGGTCAACGTAGGGCCCCGGGGCTCCGCCTGAAGGAAGTCAGCTTCCCCGGACCCCGGGGGCTCCGGGAAGGAAAAGGGGCGCGCCGCCAGGCCGCACTCCGGGCGCTCCAGCCTGGCCTCCCTAGAGGCGGTGCAGGGCGCGGGCAGCGACTGAGAGTCTTTATGGAACTTGGCCAGCCTGTCCGTAGCTGTGGCTACTGCCTCCTCGTCTTCGACCTCCTCTGCCTCCTCCTCTTCCCCTAGGTCTTCCAGGTCACTCAGTCGGAGCCCTCGAGCGTCCTGGCTTGCAGTACCATCTGCAGGAAATCAGACGCTAGTGAGAAAAGCCCCAGGCCCCAAGGGAAATCCGCGGGAGTGCGCATCCCTGAGAAGCTTTTAGCAAGATGGTTCTGCACTTAGGGCATTCTTGGCTTTATGCACCAGACTGGCCAAACCGTCTCTTACGGTTGCCCCAGGGCGCGGGGACTTGCCCTTGGGAGTGAAACGAGGCCCTAGCCCCGCCCACACTTCTTGGAAGAAGACTGCTTTCCGGTGCAAGGAAAGGACCACTTTTTACTGCCCAAGACCTGGATCCCAGTTTCTCCACCATAAAACAAACAGACACCCAAGGGGACTCCCCCACCTCCCCCCGAATTTCCATACCCACAGGTACCTGGTGTGTATTATTTAATTCCGCAAATATTTACTGAGTGCCCTCTATGTGCCAGACATCATTAGACATTTAGGTCTCAGCAATTTAGGGAATACAGCAGCAAATAAGACACTTTTTAGTGGCGCTGCTGTTCCCCAAGGGGGCAGACAGATCTCCACTACCTTCTCATAGTGGTGAGTATGGCAAACGAAATACAACAGACCGATGTCCTAGGGAATAACTGGGAAGCTAAATTAGCCCGGGTGGCCGGCCAGGAGAGGCTTTTTCCAGCCCACATTTCAGAAATCCAGAAGCAGTCAGTCACGTGGGGAATTCCAGGCAGAGGGAACTGTCCAGGCAAAGGCCCAGAAGTCTTGGGGGGAGGAGGGGATGGGTACAAATGCAAGAGTAAGTAAGGGAGTGACACCCTAAAAGCTGCCCCACAAGGCGGCTGCAGAAGTGCAATGGGCCTGATAGACTGGATAAAACCCTGGAAAAACCCAGGGCGGATAGTGAGCATTTCTGGTACCTTTGGTATCACCGTTCAGACAGCCCAGGGACCCCTCTGCTCCACTCTCAGCCTTCCTCTCCTCCCCGCCTTTGTTCTTGGGTGCCCACGTCATCTTGTTCTCCTTCTTGAGGCGCCGGCGCGCGTTGGCGAACCAGGTGGACACCTGGGTGAGGGTCATCTTGGTGATGATGGCCAGCATGATCTTCTCGCCCTTGGTGGGGTAGGGGTTCTTACGGTGCTCGTTGAGCCAGGCCTTGAGCGTGCTCGTGGTCTCCCGGGTGGCGTTCTTCCGGCGGCCCGTGCTGCTCAACTCCACTGCTCCATACCTGGGGAGGGAGAGAACCTGTCACAGTTCTGGATCTGAGAACCTGGGGCTGCAGGCAGGAGACAGTCTGAGGCCTGGAAATGAGGTTCAGGGCTCCTTCCTCCTCAAGCACCCTCCCACCCCACCCCTCCCAGGCTCTTCCCAGATGGGCCCTGTGGCAGGGGAGCGGAGGAGGACTTGCAAGGCCGGCTACCCATGCACCCCCCATGCCTTACCGGTCATACTGGTACTGCCCCAGAGTTGGCTCATAGGGGTAATAGGCTCGAGGTTGCCCCAGGCCAGGCGTAAAGTTCCCTGCAGCCTCTTTCAATTCATACTGTGGATTCTGGTGGGGGCGGGGTGGGAAGAGAGAATTCAGGACACTGGGTTTCGGGAAGAGGCTTGGTGGTGTAGTTGTTAAGGGTCCCTGGGGTAAAAGTCTGGTTCAAATCCCAGAACCACCACTGCCATTGGCTACATGGGCACAGTTGTTTAACTGCTCTGTGCCTCAGCTTGCCCTTGGTGTCTGGGAATAACAATAGTACCTGTAGGGTATTGAAGAAGAGCGTTTGGCAGAACTCTTGGTGCAAAAGAGGCAGTAGTTAAATATTAACTCTTACTAGTAGGGTTACTACTTGTGACTCCTCCCCACCCCCTTCCTGCCAGCTGGGGAACTTCCCTGCCTTACTCTTTCCAGGGCTGTTTCAGGGCCCCTTCATATCTTTGTGACTTTGGGTAAGGTATTTGAACGTCTCTGCATCTCAACGTCCTCATCCATAAACCGAGCCTTGCCTACCTCTGCCGGAGTCCAGAATTAATAGAAGCACAGATGTTTTTAAATCAGAATGGCTTTCCGCAAAGTAAAATGCTGCAAAGATGTGTTTTCTTCCCCCCCTTCCCCAGGGCTATACACAATCCTACCCATCTCCTTCCCTCCTAGTTTTGCCTCCTTCCTAGATTTTCCTTGGAGATAGCACACTGAGTTGCCCTCTTTGCTGCAGTCATGGCCAGTGGCCCCACGGGTCCTGGAGCACAGACCCAGGCTCGGTGGGGTGTACTCACCAGCGCTCCGTATAGCGCAGGCGGCTCTGGGCTGTAGGGCAAGTAGCCTGGGTAGCTTGGGGCAGCTGCGGCGGCAGCATATGGGGCTCCGTAGATGCCCAAGGCTGCGCCCAGCTCTGGCCGTGCACTGCCCAGCAGCCGACCGTCGTAGGATGCGCAGCAGAGGGCGGCCGCCGGGGTGGAGCCTGAGGCCACATCTGGGACGGAGCGTGGGGCGGATTCGCAGCAAGTGGCGCTGGAACTTGCAGACACCAGAAACTATGGGGCGAGAGAGGTGCACTGCCGGATCCCGCCCTCATTCCACATCGACTACATGCCGCCGTGTTTGGAGCATTCGGCTGGGATGGGAATTATCTTAAGGCGCAATTTATCCAAACTGACCCCTTACAGATACTCCTAAAACGTTGCTAAGGCTCCAGGGTCCCGGGGGTCCAGGCGAAGAGAACATTCTGAAATGCGAATTACAGGAGGCCAACTCCGCTGGTTCCCTCGCCTATCCCTCCCCCCACCACCCCCGCCACCCCCATCTCAGGATCCTACAAAGGCAGAGCTAGAAGTTAGCCCTGGAGACCACCATCACATCTTACTCCTGCTCCCGTTTTACAGATAGGGAATGAGGACCAGGGAGACTTGTCCAAGATCACGAGGTGGGTCAGAGGTCAAGTTGGAACCAGACCCCACAATCTGGGCAGAAGCTGGAGAACAGTCGTGGGTGTCCCCAGAATTTCCCCCAAGAAACCCTTGTCACTGCATAACACCCACCCAAATCTGGAAAAATCGAAGGAACCAGAAGCAGAGAGCTTGCACCCCCTCAAAGAAGAGAGAGAGGATAAGAACAGAAGTCAACTAGTAAACAACTGAAAAATGGTGAGGTGGGCTCTCGGGGTCACCTCCGATATCTGTACAATAAGGCAGCCTTGTCTGGAAGGTCTCGATATCCCACCCACTTCGCCGAGCGCGTGGTCGGTGCCCAAGTTTCGGGTCACACTATTTTCCAGCTTGCTCTGGGGGAATGGAACGTTCTCTACCAGAGATTGGGGGTGTCTGAGAGGTCTGTAGTACGTCGTACCTGCACAGTCTGGCTTCCCGGGAGACTCGTGCGAAAGGAGGGCGCCCAGTGGCGGGCGCTTGCACTAGGCACACCCACCCCCCAAGTCTGCCCCCATCCCCCATGGAGGCACTTCTTACCTGGGAAGCGCCGCCATACGGGTGTCCAAAGTGCGGGAAGGACATGGTGGCTGTCCCTGGACCGCCTTCTTCTCCTCTTGCGAGTTGCCGCCTCAGCCCCGCGATTCTGCGCCTCCAGCCGTGCGCCGCCTCGGTTCCTTACAAGGCAGCGGGTTCCCAACGCCGGATCCTCCGCCCGCTTGGCACGACTGGAGGCAGAACCGAGGGCAGTCCGGCTGCCGAGCCCTGCGCTCCAGAAGGCGCCCCTCCGACCCGCGTGGTCCGGAAGACAGAAGGGCCCATGGATGGGCAAGGAAAGGGAGAGGATGCGGGTTCCCAAAGTCGCGCGGTGGCGAAGCAAGGTGAGGCGCGGCGCGGGGCTGTGCGGCTCCCGAGGTGTCCCAGTCCAAGGTGGCCAGAGGCTCAGTGTGACGTCACGGTAATCCCGGGCCGCCAGGCGGGCCCCCGGGCCCTGGGGCCCCGGGCCACCAAGCGTGCCAAGCGCAGCCAGCCCGTGCGCGCGCGCACACTCTCACCCACACTCACACTTGTTCGGGAGATTTGTGCAGCTGGTGAGGAACGTCAAAGACCCCGACCCTCTCTGCTGGGCGCTGGATCCTACCCCTTTTCGCCTTAAGCTCACGCGCGCGCGCGCACACATACAATCTCTCCAAATTACCCGGGAGAAGTAGGAGAAACGCCTCCCTCAGTGCCGCGCAGGCCCCGGGCGCAGCTCGTTTACCTCCTCCCCTGCGGCCCGGAGGAGGAGAGAAGCCAGCCGGGCCGCGAGGGGGGAGAGAATACAAAAGGAGAGATAAGAGAAAAAAGAGGAGAAAAGTGGGGGAGAAAGGCAAGAGGGAGAAGGAGGAGGGGAGAGGAGAGGGATGAGGAGTCTAAGTGAACAGAGGCGCGCGGGGGAGGGGCGGGAACAGGGGTGGGCGAAGGCTGGGCGGAGGTTGAACACTGGCAGGTGGAGGGGAGCGGCGGCTCAGGGGAGAAACCTCCAGCCCCGCTCCCCCGCCCCTCTGTTGCGGGAAAGTTTCTTCTCGCCACAGGCCCCACACTCGTTGGGGCCGCGCCTGGGCAGCGTCGGTGCGTCCCACTGTCCCGGCCGTCTTTGTCTTCCGGAATCTGGTTCTCTACCCCAGCCTCCCCAGGACTCTAGCTAGATCCAGGCTCTCCGAGCCCTGGTCTTTGGTAGGGTCTCGACCCTGGGGCTTCTCGGCAGCCTTCTGGCCCTCGAACAGCCCGAATAGCGCCCCCTCGAGGCCAAGGTTCAGTTCCCCTTGCATTCCGCCTGGAAATGCGCTCCGTCTGACCCTTGGCATCTGCAGGCGGCGGGCGTACACCCCACGCATCTGCTCCGAAGGCGAGGCTTGGCTGCTTCCTGCGCACCGACCGCCGTGTCCACCCGGGAGCCGGGGAGCCACAGGAAGGCGCCGGGGCCGAGCTGCAGCCGCTGCGCTCCGCTGGGGGTGGCGCTGGCGAGCCGCGGTTCAGCGCGCGGGGACGGCGGCTCGTGCCCCGCGCTCCGCCGCGACGCCGCGGGGTTGGGCCCGGCGATCTGAACACCCACCCCTCCATCCCAGGGGTCCTCAAAGTGGCGCTGAGGGGCGGAGGAGCTCGTCTGTGCCGGGAGGGATCTGTGTCCTCTAGGCCTGGCCCCAGACCCGCGGCCTCTAGTTTGTGAACACTGTAGATTATGAGCACCCCAGGCTTAATCCCCAGTCCTGACGCTGGGGTCGGGGTGTGGGTTGCGGGGGGGAGCTAGAAAAGGGGCATCCAGTCCGGTGGGGGCCGGGTCTTCGGGAGATGCTGCGGATATCCAAGTGGAACTCTGGCTTTGGGGCTGGCAGGCCAGAACCCTCAGAAAGTCTCCCTTCCACTCACAGGGTTAGGGCACTTTACAGTGTACAAAACGCGCTCCCAGGTCCTTGCTGAACCCTTCCTGCAGGAATCTGGGGGATTGGTTCAAGAGCCCAGTTGTATTTTCTAGCTGAAACGCAAGAACGTGTAGCCCAGAGGTCAGGAACAACCCCAGGTCTCTGCCCTGCATTTTTGCGAGGCGAGGAGGAAGCCCAGCGAACCAGGCAAAGTCTAGGGCCTGGCCCAGGATCCCTGGCTGCAGAGTTTTCGTCTGGAACCTTGCAGAGGGAACCGGTAAGCCCCTGATGTCAGACACCTCTTTGGAACAACATTGGCTCCCCCCGCCCCACCCCTGTACAGGTGGGGCAGAAGGGGCCAGGCTCTATAGACCTTGGAAACCCAACATTCCTCCACCTATTCCTGATAGGAATAGGAGAATATTCATTCTAAATACTAAGGAACCCAGGGAGGTTTCCCTGCTGCTGCTGCCAAGCGTCCTCACCTTGGAAAAACCTTGCGTTCAACCCGGGGAAATTCCCAGTTAGAAAAAGAATTATCGTTACCGCCGGATTGATTTAGTGATAAAAAGGCCCCGTAATAGATCCCTTGATTTTTTTTTTTTCAAGATGCACTTTACAGCCATCCACACATTTGCAGCTTGGATATATCTATTTTTTTTTTTTAAGTAAGAATTGGAGAGAATTCATTAAATTAGTCCCTTGGGGAAGATTACTGCTAATTAATTAATTGCAAACATTTCCAGTCAATTGTAAAGTAATAAAATTAGATAGTTGAAATACTTACTCAGCAACTTTGATTGCCCATTCGTTCCTAAGCAGAGTTTTTTTTTCTTTTCTTTCTTTCTTTCTTTCTCTTTCTTTCTTTCTTTCTTTCTTTCTTTTTTTTTATGACAGAAAAATGGGTTGGTGGTGGAGAGAAAGCATTAGTTATGTCCCCTGGCGATCTGGTTGCAAAGGAGAAGCTACCATATAGAATGTATTGATTTTTCCCTGATTTATAAGACCTCTGCGGTATCAATGCTGTGCGCAGGGCCTCCGGGCCTACCTCTTGTCTTTGCTCTCTAGGATTAGAGAAAAAGCAGCACGATTTTTCAGGAGAGAAAAAAAAAAGATTGAAAGAGGAAAAGCAGTGGAGAAGTAAATTGGGAAGGTAGGGCTCTGATGGTTCCTGGGTGTTTTTCTTCTTAGGTAGAAAAGGAAAACAAACCAAAGAGCAGGTTTTCTGTGAAGGAAGCTTTCTATTGTCTTCAAAGTTACTTTACAGTGTCAGAGTGTCTTGGGGAGGAAGGCCGCCACTTCCAAGCCTGGAAGACCTTGATTTCTTATTTCTTTCTCAGGGAGAAGCTAGACCCACAGCAAACCTACCTGGTGCCCCTGGGGTTTGATTGTGACACCCCCCCCAGCACAAAGTGGGGTTCCCTAAAAACAGTTCGTATCAAGTGTGTCCCCTTCCCATTGTTTTCAGAGCCTCATCACAAAACAGAGCCCGTGGGTTAGACCAATGCTGCCCTCTGTCTGGCAGCGACCTCAGGTTGAAACAAGTCTTTCTTGGAAAGTCTGGTTCAAGGAAGGGGTCACGGAATCTGTTCTCATCCTCCCGGCTGTGGACAGGTGCTCACTTTGGCAGCTGAGGGCTCCGGCTTCTCATTGCTTTGTTTACCGCTGATTAATTTAGTTTGGGAAAAATGCCCAGTTGTGTGTGTGTGTCCGTCTAGACTTGTACTGAAGGGAAGAGACAGACTTATGAGAGGCAGACCCTCCCTGTTATATTTGAGGGAGTCCTTCCACGCAAAGTATTTTGTACAAATGGTACAGATCCTTTCGTTGTATTCTGCGTGCGCTCTGATATTTCCTCTAGCTGCTCATTAAAACAAATATGAATAAAGCAGATGGTCAAAGGCCTACTTGGAGCACAGAGAGGATTCGCCCACATCGCTTATTTGAAGTTCATGTTCCTCTGCTTTAAATTCACCGAAGGTCTTGAGCAGGCAGAATAAAGGCTGTGTCTTTGAGCCAGAAACAGACTCTTAATTACAGAGAACAAACTGGTGGTTGCCAGAGGGGGGTGGGTGGGGGTGAGTGGGGTATGGGGATGAGGGCACTTGCTGTGATGGGCACCAGGTGACGTATGAAACTGTTGAATCTCTCTATTGTACACCTGAAACCAATACCACACTGTATGTGAGCTAATTGGAATTAAAATAAAAACTTCAAAAAAAAAAAGGATATGTCTTTGACAATAAACTTGAATCCAACACACACACACACACACACAAATCCTATTGTACTATTTTGGGTTAAATATCCCTCATTTCCCGATGTTTTATAAAGACAGCAGTTTTTACAGAGGGTGGGGATGAATAACAAGCCAGAAATACTCCAAATCAAGTTCCAATGCCTCAAATCACAGGTGCAATGTGTGGGTCTATGGGCATAGTAACATAGATGAAAATGTGCCAAATTATATTTTTTTAACTACGGATTTTTTCAGTGGCTGTTTTTGAATGGAAGAAGAATGAGATTTCCTCAAATCTATGCATGAATGGACAAGTGCATCTGGACAGATGCATCTATAATTGATACTGATCAGTCGCCGCAGGTCTCCCTGAGTAAAGCCAAAATGAACACTAATTGTTCTGACGGAAGTAGTGTGCGTGGCATCGGATTGTGAAAGGCAGGGAGGCCCTGCTTTGCCTGAGCACGTACTGTCAACAGCAGCCTTGGCATCAGGAGCGAAAAATAAAAAGACCATCATTCCCAGATCGGGGCGTCGATGTCATTTGTCAGGAAGGTGGCAAACAGAAAGAACGAATTTCTGAACAAAGTAACACAACGAGCTCTAATGCAGAGGTCCTGGTGTGTGGGTCAAGCAGGTACAAACCTGAGCTTAGAGTTAAAAATCATATCTTGTCGATAATAAAAATTCCTTTGTACTCCTAGCATGCTTAGTTAGAGAGCGATCCTAAACGCCTCTGCTTTTCTGTCTTAAGGCTCGGGGTAAGGAAGTTGGAGACATGAGAAGCAAATCCAAGATCACATCAGCTAGAAGGAAGTAGGTGACAGAGGAGGGACCGGAATCTGGACCCTTGGACTTTGGGTCTTTCTGCAAGACTGTATTTCAAACACACATCAAGCCAGACACAGCCAGGAGATGTGGTTACCTCCAACTGGACTCCGAGA